CACTTCTATTACCTATACAGTTCCTTAATGCCTGCTTGTGGTTTGTCTCTGCACCTTTGCCTTTTGCTAGTTTTATATAAATGGAATCATAAAACATATTGTCTTAAAGGCTCTTTTATGCCACATAAGTTTTTAAGAAATGCAAGCAGCAGTAAAAAAATTATGTCCTATTTGTTTTTAAGAGGACTCAGAAACTCAATCTCTTATTTTGTAAGCAACCAAGGAAATGAGTCTCTCCTACTCATTTAATGTGCATATCTTCAATAAATGAAAAACATGGTTCCCAAGAGCACTACAAGAGAGTTTCTAGTCCTACCAGTTCTATTAAACTTTTAAAAATAGAAAAAAATGACAGATCACAAACTAAATTAAATAGTTCCTTTCAGTTAATTGTACAGTATAAGGATGATTATTAGAATGTAGGGGGCACTTCCTTGTGCATCAAACCAGGGTAATTTATGTAGAGGCTAAACTTATGCAGCGACTTAATTTCTTTAAAACTTCACAGACACTTGGCACAGTTGATCATTGATATGGTGTGTTGACTGAAATAGGGTCCTCTACATTTCTGGAGGAAAAAGGCGAATTTACAAGATATAAACATGGAAAGTATTTGCTGAAGTATTTTGTTAAAATTGTCTTCTCTTGTTTTGCTTAATACAATGAGTTTGGGGTAGAGAGCACAGGGCCTTTCCTATGGGACCTGAACAGACTTTTCCACAGGGGGGAAAAATTTCTGGGGATTTTAGGAAGCAAAAGCTACACTGGCCTTTGTTTACATGTCAGTGTTCCATTAAGCAAAGAAGTTAGGCCATTGGCATCGTGGTTCATTGCTTCAGCTATCAGAGTGAATGTGGATCCCAACATCCTGAGTTTGGGAATATCATCACCTTTCCTAGCCCCGTCTGATTGTGAAGACTTTTCCTTTGTTTCCACTTCATAAGCAGCACATGTCTCAGAGGAACTTTCTCCTCGATTTCCCATGCTGTGGTTCCCAACACATTTATCTGTCTTGTATCTGACGCCTCACAGAGGAACAGTGTGGGAGAATGGTCAGGATGCTCACCCAGCATGGACAGGCCAAACCTCAGATGTCAGTTCTGCATGAGGCGACAAGCCTGGTGATGAATTATGTACTCTTGCTTCTCTTCCTTAGCAATTTACTAACAAATAAAACCCATTTCCCAGATTGATCTTATAAGGACTGTGTGAGGATGTAACTGGAAAGCATGTGTTTTGTCTGCCTCATGCTGGAGTCATGGATCTGTATGTAAAAACGGTTTCTCCTAAGAATACAGTGATAGCACCTAGAGGTAGTAGAGCAGAGACAGCTCTCCAAGCTCTAGGAGAGAAGTTGTTTTAGAATAGGGCTACCTGGTGCTGCCAGTAGCCTCCCAAATGCTTACACCCAAAGAAACAATATTTTATGTTAAAGGTTTTTTTTTAATTAAAAATTTTAAAATTTATTTTACGTGACTTAAGTGTTTTGCCTGCATGCAGGCCTGTGTCTGGTGCCCATAGAGGCCAAGAGTGCATCAGATCCCCTGGAATTAGAGTTACGGAAAGCTGTGAGTCCCTATGAGGGTGCTGGGAGTTGAAGCCAGGTTCTCTTTGAGAACATGCGCTCTTGAATGCTCAGCCATCTCTCCAGCCCCTAAAAGAGCTCATTTAAGCTCAAGATGACTTTATCATAGATTGATTTTTGTTGCCTATTGTGATTTTTTTTTAAAGTGGCATTCTACATGTCTTTAAAATGTTTATCTCACTGTGAAGATTCCAAGCCCCCCGAGGCCTACGTTTTCTTACTTGACTGACATCTACTGGCACAGCTCTTATTTTGACTCCATAATCACGTGGCTTCCTCTACGAGCCTGGCCCCTGAAACCTTATCTTCTAGGACCAGCCATTTACAGTCCTGGAAGGCCTCCAAGTGACACACTGCGCTTATTTTTCTTAGAAGAAGGTGAGAAAATCAACAAACTTGCTTTGGCAATATATATAAGAAATTGTACTGGGTCATTTACACTGAGACACTCTTTAAAAAGATTTATTTCTATTTTATGAGTGTTTGCCTGCAAGTTTGTGTACTATGCATGTAGCTGGTGCCTTCAGAGGTTCAAAAGGTGTCAGAGTCTCCTGGAAATGGAACTATAGATGATTGTAAGCTGCCACGTGGTACAGAGAACTCAACTGGAGTCTTCTGCAAGAGCCTTAACCACTAAGCCATCTCTCCAGTCCCTACATGGAGATTTTTTAAAGCTAGAATTTATTGCATTCTTGTCATGTAAAGAAGACATCCTTTAAATAATATAATTTTATGAGGTGGTTACCATTAACATGCCCATTATATAATGAAATGAGAGAAAGATGTTAGACAGGCTGCTCCAGACGACACAGAATAATAGTCCTTACTGGAAACCAGGCAGACTGGTTCTAGTAGAGTGCACACCAGGCAGAGTGCACACACTACGTGGCCGTACATCTTTGAATCTGCCATCACTGCTGTTCTCTGGTGGATGATTACCAGTTCCTGGTAATCCATCTGCATCTCCTATTCAGGAGTGCCTTATTCTAAGCTTTGACTGCTTTTCTACAAACGTGACCCTTGATCCTTTCACCCTCCCCCTTGTCTTTTTCTCAGCTGTAAAAGGAGGGAGCTGAGGGATGGAACTGGAGGTCATGACATATACAAATCAAGCCACCATGCTGAGAAACACACATGCATGTTTCCGTTCATACATGTAAGCTAAAGAAGTGGATGTCCTAGAAGTACAGAGGGAAATAGTGGTTACTGAAGACTCGTGAGGAGAGGTAGGATATGGAAAGCTTAAGAAACTGATGCCAGAATAGTTAAGACAGGATTAGTTCTAGTGATCTACAGCACGGTAACTGTACAATTATTATACATTTAATAATGAAGCAGACTGAAGGAGTCCAAAAAACCCCAGCAGAAAGAAATGTTTAGAAGGGCAGAAACGTTATCACTGTATCATGATACACTGTGCCTATGTATCAAATTATTACATATATATATATATACATATATATGCAAATGGGAAAAGGTAAATATTAAAAAAATAAATTAAAAAGCTGGCTGTAATGCTTGCCAGTAATCCCATAACTTTGGAGGCTAAAACTGGAGGATTTTGAGTTCAAGGTCAGCTTGGGTTATATAGTAAATACTGACTCAAAAAAAAAAACCAAATTGAAATAAACAGAATTATTATTTTTTTTTCGGTTTTCTTTGACGTTAACATTATGAGCATATATATAACATTAGAGGCAAACACATGGGCAATGGACTAACCATGGGAGAAAGGAAGGTCTGTGTGTGGGACGATGGGAAGTCTGCTCTAAGCTGGTGGAAGGTGAGGAGGATTACATTTCCTACTAGTACCAGCCTGGATCCCTGGAAGAGTGAAAGGAAGTTCAGGGAGGCTTCTCAGGAGGCTGGTGAGGAACCCAAGGCAGAGTGTGATGGCAGACTAGGCTTGGGTACTGACAGCACATAGGAATGCACACACTCTTTTCCTTTCAGGTCAATGGCAGAGGACAGACACGGGCTTATTGTACTAGGTTAACTTAACTTTGAAAAAGAAATGGATTGGTGGGAGACTACCAGCAGCAAACAGCCAGCTCATGATGTGTCCTGATACTAAGATAAACAGACAGTCCTGCACATGGGACACAGGATTAACTCTGTAATTTACTGGAGGAAGACAATGGTTCTGCTAAACTAGATAAAGGTAGAACCATCTAAGTCAGTGGTAATGTTTTGATGCTCTGTGGACCAGCTCAGCCCTGTTTGGAAAAGGCCATGGTCTCTGTGCACAGTGCTGTGACATTATTGTGACCAGTTACATATGCTACCATAAAATGATACTTTTTTCAGGTTATTAATAGAACAATTCTCAAGGTATAATATGGCCTGATACTGACTTTTCAATATATGCAGACAATAAAGACAAAGTGGCAGTAAGGTTAAAATAATTTACTATTCTTTTGTTTATTTGGCTGAAAATGGGACTACGTCAAAATTTGAAGTAATGAACCCACATAGACTTCTTTTCATAATATCTATAGTGTATCAGAATGGAATTCCTCATTTAAAATTTTTAAATTCATTCTTGTTATTTTTCTTTTCTTTTTGAGACAGAGTCTCACAATATAGTCCTAGTATTCCTGGAAGTCCTTATGTAGACCAGGCTGGCCTTGAACTCACAGAAATCTGCCTGCCTCTGCCTCCTGAGGGCTGGGATTAAAGGCGTGGATCACCATGTCTGCCTTTCTCATCATGTTTAATGATGTGTATGGATGCACACATGTGAGTGTGGGTGGCCATGGAGTCCAGAAGAGGGTGCTTGATCTCCTGGCGCTGGAGTTATAGACATTATGAGACATCAGATGTGGGCACTAGGAACTGAACTCAGGTCTTCTGCAAGAGTACTATAGAATCATAACTGTTGACTCATCCCTTCAGCCTCAGAATTAAATTCCCCATAACTGGAATACCTTGCTTGTGAGGGGCAGTTCTAAGAAGAGAGACTTTTCTCAGAACTATAAATTATCAGCCTTGGGTTTTTGTCTCAATCCCCTATAAATACTCAATATTTCTGAGCATCACTTTTAAGTTTATTTGGGCAAGGAACCAGGTAGGTTTCTTTCTAAGGCCCTGTGAAGTATGGGATTAGTCTAATATTTTTGAAGGTCATCTTTGCCCTAAATGGGTTTATGATAATCTTTGTGAGCACAAATTCACTCTTTCAATGTTCTCAAGGCAAACAGTTCATGGTCCGATCAGAACATGGGGTCCAGGATATGATACTGTTATCTAGATAATCATAAGAACAATCTTGCCATGCAACAGTGACTCCTGACATTGCTAACTTCTGTGAATACCTGGATCACAAAGACCATGCTTACTCCCAACATTTGCTTTCAATACCTACCTAAGAGAATCACTGGGAAAGGTTTTTTAATAACAACACACACACTATCGATTCTGGTGAATAATTCTAAAAGACAAATATTGTTAAAGTTTCATGTGACAAGCTAGTGTTATTGAGTATTCATAACACATCAAAGTAAACGAAACAAGCAGGCATCCTTAGGTTCAGAGTGCCCCTAAAAGTCCAATGTGGTATGACTGTTAGGATCGGTTTTGAATGGCTGCTGTTATCCTTCCAAGGAAAAACCTTCGAGACTACTGGGCAGCAGACATGCTTTCTGGTTCACCTGCCTGCATCTGCATGAAGAAAAGAAGAACAGGTTGGCAAGTGTGTAAGATTGGGAAGCTGCCTTCTCCAGCTGTTCTGACCTGAACTCTAGTTAAACCTTATGCAACCTACAACTGTCACTACAGATGGCCAAACACCTATTGGGAGTTGCCAGGCTTTACATCTGTTCTCCCAGAAATGAATGAATGTTCTTTGACATTTCACTTTTTGGCCACGGTGGTGATGTGTGTGTTGGGGGTCATGGGTAGTGCTCCTCTGAACCCAGAATATGGTTCCTGAGATTCCTGAATATGTAACCTTGTTGCTTTCCATGACATTTCCCCCCTTCTCCTTATTAACTTATATTTTTAGGATCAAGGTCCACCTTTAACCTAGATACAGTGCAGAGCCCTGCTCCCTTCCAGGGAATCTACTAGCTAGGACAATTTGCCACATCTGAGCCATCCAGGAGGTAGCGTTCAACTTTGCTAAGCCACCATCACTATGCCGCTGAGTTCACACACCATCACTCCAGCCGACAGAACTCACTGTCCCTGAGCGATGCACTCTGAGAAAGGGGCAGCTGTAACTATCACGCGCTAAAATGGATAAATGGGGCATACAACTTGCTACAAGCAGGCCTTAATGACATCAGTTCATGGTGTGTCACAGAAGTTTAACGTGTGGCAAGACTATCTTCCTAAATGCATGGATAATTGATCTGAGAACCCTTTAGTTGGTTACAAACTTATTGGACTTGTTTATAGGATTAACTAGGACAAGTTCAGAAGACACTACACAGAGCAGCTTTCAGAAATCAAGAAGGGGGATTTTCCCGAGTGCTCAGGCAAACATAACATTTCTTATCTTTCTGAAACGTTTTGACAGGTTTCAAACCTTGTGTGGTAATTCAAGCCTGCTTAGAAGCTTCCAGCTCTGGTGTCAGATTCGAGTGGCAAGCTGGCGTTTTCATAGGTTTCCATTCAGAAACTGGTTTTCCAAGTTTACTGTTCTCTCCTTTTCTAACCCCATTTGACAGTTCTTGTACTTTAAGGATAGTCTATTATTCGTTTATCTTCCCTTCATAAGGTTAGGAGAAAGTAAGAATGACCAACTATCTGCAAATAGAACACTTTAAAGGTTTTCATTTTAATCTCTATTTTCGACGCAGATGCGTGCCAAACAAGCGTCCGTGAGGATCTACTGGGTTCAGCCTAGGTAGAATCTGAAATTTTCCGTTGACTAAAAGAAATATCACCTGGTCTCCTCCACGGTTCCACCGACCGGCTCTTCACCGCAGGTTTATTTCACAAAGCAACGCAGTCCCTAAGTTTCTCGATTGCCCCGGGTTTGGGTCTCTACCCAAACCCTGCCTGTGCCCGAAACCACCACTTTATTGGTCTATCCGTGTGTCTGTTTACTCATTAAACCAATCATAGCCTCCCTTCTTACCCGAGGGAATTGAGAAACCGGAAAGAACCCCCGGTTGGTCGTCGGTCGGAGGGCGGGGCCGTGAATGAGTGACAACTCTGTCTTCCAATACACAGAGCCATCAGTCCTGCCCGTTCAGGCTTCTGGGCTACAAAAGAGCGTCGATGCCGGCGGTAGCGATGAATCCTTTCTGGCACCTGCAGCACGGCGTCGCTGAGGACCGGCTGCTACTGGTGGTTTCCTTGCAGGTGAGTGACTTCGTTGTAATTGTTACAGTTGTGAGAATTTCGTTCTTTCTTAAGTGCCTTCGTCTGCTATCGTGAGAAGGCCGGTTGCTACCCTGCCCGGCTTTAGTATCTGGTGGGAACCTGATGCCCGCTTCAAGCGGGGACTCTCGTGGATACTCCAGGTCTCAGTTGCCCCTTTCTCAGAGTGCATCTCTCAGGGACAGTGGGTTCTGTTGGCTGTAGTGATGGTGTGTGAACCCAGCGGTGTAGTGACGGTGGCTATCCCCTGGATGGCTCAGGTGTGGCAAATTGTCTTAGCTAGTAGATTCCCTGGAAGGGAGCAGGGCTCTGCACTGTATGTAGGTTGAAGGCAGACCTTGATCTTAAAAGTGTAAGTTAATAAGGGAAAGGGGGAAAATGCCATGGGAAGCAAAGAGGTTACATATCCAGGCATCTCAGGAACTGTATTAAGGGTTCAGGGGAACACTACCCACACCCCCAATCACACACACACACACACACACACACACACACACACACACGACAACCACCACCACTATGACCAAAAAAGTGTAATTTCTTTTTGTTCTAAGGGATAGGAGCAAGCATTTCACTACAGGTCAAAAGAAATGCAAAATTGTAATGAGGTTTACTATTAGACTTTACAGAATTACTTCCCACCTTCAAAATTAGGAAGGATTGTGAATGGCGGGGAATGGTTCTAGAATACCGACTAATAAAATTCAGACTCCTTCGGAAGGGAGTAAAAAGTAAACAATTACATTTCATCAGCAGGTACAAAAAGTTTCTATAATAAAAGGAATCTCGTCAATTTGTCTGTAAAACTGTCTCCTTGAGTCCAGTGAGTAGGTTTCACCCATCTTCTGTTGCCATAGTTTGTCACAAACTATAGATACTCCCAGAATGGCGTTGGAATTTTAAAAAGTCTAATCCTAATAAATAGCATAGTGAAAAAACAGTGGATTAGAAGCCATGGCACTGGCTTTAGTCCAGAAGTTGTTACTGTTTTAGTAATCTTAAGTAGACACTGACTTAATTTTCACATTTTTAAAGATTTTTTTATGTGTGTGATTTTTTTTCCTGAATGTATTTGTGCGCCTAGTGTCCATGGCGACCAGAAGAGAGCGTTGGACCCCCCTGGAACTGGAGATGGCTATGAGCCCCCATGCAGGTGCTCGGAAGGGAACCCAGGTCTTCTGCAAGAGCAGCAAGTGCTCCTAACCACTGACCCATCTCTCCATCCCAGTTTTCACATCTTTTTTAAGAAGCAGAAGTTACATTTCTAAGGCCCATACCTTTATTAAAATCTACTTAAAAGTAAAGATGATTAGACTGTTTTTCCCTATCATGTCTACAAGGAAAATTTCACTATTGACCTCTGTATAAAGTCTGTATTGAATAAAAGTGCCCAGCCTCAAGGACATATTCTTTTGTGCCCATATTTAAACTGAACCAAACCAAGCAGATCATTGTAAAAAAAAAAAATTTTTTTTAAAGGAGAGTATAGAAATCTAATATAGCCAAAAAAAGATGTCATCTTTAATCTCATTACTCTGAGGCAACTACTATTAGTGTTTGTCTATTTTGTGTTTAGTTTCTCTTCTCCTTTACCTTTTATGGTTTGTGAGATTAATAGGGTTGTTTCACTTTAAGAAGTTGGTTGATACATCTAAATTCAACATCCAGGCATCCAACTCTGTATGTCTAGAGAACACGGGACACAACATGCTTGCACTGGTGGCTTGTTGGATGTTCTTGGAATTGAAGTTAAGCGTGAGGTGATATATGGAGAAACAGAACAAAGGTATTGACATCTGGGCATGGTGCCATGCTCCTGTAATCCCAGGGTTTAGGAGGTGGAGGTTAGAGGATTCCTGAAAGACCGTGGCCACCCTGGGCCACAGAGTGAGATCTTGGATCCAAAGATATCAATAACAAAACCCTTCCATCAAAAAGATATGTTGATAATTGACCTGCTTCCTGACGCATTTGGATTGCACACTCTAATAGTATTGGGTGTGCTTCTAGGACTGTATAATTCATCCCACCTTCCCGTTCACCCACATTCGACTGCAGCTTGCTTTCTTCTGTGTAAGTCTCCTGTCAAACCTTTCCCTTCGTGTTACTTTATTCCTAGAGTTCATGTCTACCCATTCCATCAGCCCAGTAGAGTCACTCTGATGGGCCTGTGGTCTATACCAGTCTTCACGAGTGGGTTAAAGCCTAGCACTTTCTGCCTCTCACCGTTTGCTAGAGTCCTTGACCACCATCCATTTCATATTTCCTAAGAGAGTAATGCTTTTGTTATTCTTATGAACTTGGAACTTAGTGTCCGAAGAATTTAATGTATTCACCATCGAACTGTTAATAAGCTGCTGAGTTGTGCTTCAGCGCAGGTTTTTAAACTCTGAGCTTTTGGGATTTGATGGACACAGTCTGTATTGACAAGCCTACCCCCTAGGGAAGTAACTGGAGAGAGAAAAGAAGAATCTTGAGTGGGTGTTGCATGCACTGCTGATTCCAAGGAGGCTGGCAGCTCAGGCACTCATTACTACATACATGTAACTCTTTCATGTAAAGAGGGCTCTACCTGCTGTAGTTTGTTCCCTTTGTAACCCATTGTGTGTGTGTGTGTGTGTGTGTGTGTGTGTGTGTGTGTGTGTGTGTGTGAGAGAGAGAGAGAGAGAGAGAGAGAGAGAGAGAGAGAGAGAGAGAGAGGTAAGGGTGAAGGATGAGAGATGCTTGGGAGTGGCAGTGTCTTGTACAGAGGTGTTCTTAGCACTGCACATACAAATGGAAAATTACCATATCAACCTTTAGGGAAGTAATAGGCAATAGGATCTCAAGTGCTGTCAGGACTCAGTTTATATTTAAACAGCTTGAGTCTGAGGAAGGTGTGTCTTGTTAAGATACTTGAAACTCTAAGGAATTAAATTCTGTGTTTCATTTGCCTCAAGAACTGTTCCTTTGTAATTAATTAGAGACATCAGGAAGTCTTTCTCATTGACCTCAAATACAGCCAGCTAATAGTCCATAGCTGCCCCGTGCAGTGGGAGGTAAAAGTTGCTGAAAACTGTACGGTGTGGATCTGGATTAAGGAAAATCTCAGAGTATTCTGAGGTGGGTTTTAAATGTTTAATTCTTTAGAGTAAGTTCGGGATTTAAGAGCTTCTGATCCCAAGTCTCTATCTGATATTAATTGACATATTATTGCTATTTTGAAAGTGGAAGAAAATGGAACTGTTGGCTTCTGTTTTTACACCGTGATCTATCTATCTCTTCATGAGTTATGATACAAGAGTCTTAGGTGTACTTTACTTTTCAAACACCGAGGGAAGGAGGAAGCAAAGTCCTAGCGGTGTTAATTTGTAAACAGAAGGAGGAAAGCACATGTAAATGTATGTGGCTTGATAGGAGGCAGAAGGGGGAGCCAGGTGGCATGCTGCAGACCTGAAGGCAGAGGCTCTGAAGTGTGTGTGTCCCCTCAGTCAATTGGTTTTGCACGCCAGTCACTCACCTGTCAGCTCTTTCTGTTTCTGCTTTGCCCAAAGAATCTAAGTCTGAAGCATAGCTTCATGGTGGCCTTGGTAGGAAAGAAAACTCGTTGGTTTTTATAATCTAGATGGAATTTCAACATATAGTATATATGGAATACAGAGATGAAATTTCAAGATATAATGAAAGGTCTTCATTATAACTGGTGGAAAGTCTTTTGAATCACCTGGTGGTTTTTCTGTACTGTTAAGACAACTGGATAGCTCCTGCTTCTGAACAAATGTGCATTGAGCTTTAGTAGGATACACTGCAACATGATTTACAAAGAGGCTATCGCAAATGAGAGCACATGTTTGTGGGAGGGTAGCAGGGGAATCATTTCCCCATAGTCGCCGTCCCCCTCAACCTGTTCCTAAATACTGAATTAAGCACAAACTCTGACTTCAGCATGCTCAATATTTACTTCTGTGAGGAATACAAAATAAAAATAACTATAAATGGGATTCCATTCCCCAGTGTACTTTGCAATTCTGGCCAAGGGTACAGCCTGGGGGGGGGTCTTTGCTTGTTTGTTTAGTTTCTTTGAGACAGGGTCTCACTCTAAGCTGGCTTTTTTATAATGTTGGGACTATGCTCTGTGACAGGGTACTTGGTTAATTAAGGTCAGATGACCTCTTCACCGGTGTGAAGAGCACATCCAAGTATGGGCTCTAGCTAGGCAGAGATTTGCCCACCAGGGCCTTCTGGCCTTTTTTTTTTTTTTTTTTTTTTTAGCTCACAAGATAGAAATGGAGGCCTGGCAGTGGTGGCGCCTAGCACTTGGGAGGCAGAGGCAGAGACAGGTGGATTTCTGAGTTCGAGGCCAGCCTGGTCTACAGAGTGAGTTCCAGGACAGCCAGGGCTGTACAGAGAAACCCTGTCTCGAAAAAAAGAGATAAATGGATGTTTTTTTTCCCATTTTAAATTATTGAAATTAGCCTAGTGATAACAATATTTGACCCCATCATCAAATTACATCACATTTACTCACTTATGCGAACAGATACTTGCAGCTGAAGAGACAAAATTATACAGTTGTACATATTATGACAGAGATCATATAGTCTGCAAAGCCAAAAAAAAAAAACCATCACTGCTTGGATTTTTACAGGGAATATTGCCAGCATCTTGGCATCTTAAGCTACAGTTCCTTTCTCACTTAACGTCTATCACTTTGTAGCAGCCATCTTCTTGGCCGGCCCAAGTTGTCATTATAGGTTACCAGGGTTTCCTGCAAAACCCCCTCTCAGCTAATAGTAAGACTTCTCTGTGAGTGTAAATGCTGCCTGGCCCTCAAATGTGTGCTATTAAACCTTTAATGATGTCTCATTGTTTACAGAAGAGTCTGCATTCTCTGGCACGGGTCCTCCTTGAGCCTCTATTCAGTTTTATCTTTCTAGACTAGTCTCCGCCTACTTCCTGATTATACCCTGTAACAGAGTGACCATATAATTTTCCAAATGGGA